GATGCCAGAGGTGGGTGGGGGGCATCCGAGTTTCTGACAGCTTATAGGTGGTGAGGTGGAACCTGGGCTCTGCCCATTCTCCCCAGCCTCCCGGGAACCCCACAGTGAACACCTCTGGGTGTAACCTGACCCCATGTCGGACTTGGGACTTACAGCAAGTGACTGCTGAGCCTGGAGTGGGTCAGTCATACAGTCAGTCACAAGGACAACACGATAGCAAAAGTGGGGAGACAGAGCTCAGGGCACGGAGTGGGGATGGGGACGGGGGTAACCTCAGACCCAGCTCGAGAGGTGGTGTCTTGGAGAATCTATCTTAAGAACTCATAGCCACCCTCTGGCTTTGCTCTATTATCTTCCACAAAGCTCCTGGATCTCTGTTCGAAGCAGGTAAGAAAAGCAACCATTGAACGGGGAGGCAGGCTCTGCTGACCTCCTCCAGATCTGTAAGCAGAAGGCCCACAGCATCAGGTAGACAATACGATGGCCCCTGAGACCCAAAAGCAATGACTTCTTGGTCCAATGGTTGAAGGTCCTGCCTGCCTTCCCAGGGAGCACTCACTACTTTCTGGTGACCTTTGTGGCTGACACACACGGGCAGGAGGTTGCTAGTGGCATCTAATAGGAAAGGTCATAGATGTTGTTCAATCAGATACCCAAGACAGCCCAGGCTATGAAGACTCCTTCAGCTCTAAACAACATGGCAGCCAAGGTGAGTTGGCTCCTGACTAGAATCTCCTAGAATCTCCTAGAATCGGAGACAGAGGTTATTGGTTCCTAAAGTCAACCCCGCTTCTGCCTTCCAGGGACACCTCATTAGAAACTGACTGCCTTGGGTCAGAGATGCCCAGTTATCTATAACCACTTAGATATGTCTGAACCAAACAAACATAAACACAGCTGAGCTACGCTTGCTCACCCCAGTATCACCCTGTCTCTGATAGGTTGGCTATACTTGGCTGAAATTCTTGTTTGTTTGTTTATTTATTATTTATTTTTGAGACAGGGTTTCTCTGTGTAGCTCTGGCTGTCCTGGAACTCACTCTGTAGACCAGGCTGGCCTTGAACTCAGAAATCTGCCTGCCTCTGCCTCCGAAGTGCTGGGATTAAAGGCATGTGCCACCACTGCCCGGCCTTTGCTGAAATTCTTGTGACTAGAAATGTTTCAGATTTTGGAATTCTTTTTGATTTTGTAATATGTGCATATTCATGACAGGATATTTGGCAGATGGGAGCCACCTCTAAACATGAAATTTATGTATGTTTCACATATATGCCTTACACAGACAGCCTGAGGCAAATTGTTGACCGTGCCGGGATGGGATCCGGGACTCTGCATGCTAGGTGAAGTCTACCCTCGAGCTTCCCATCCAGTCTACCTATTTCTTTTAAATACTTTTGTAGATGAACTTGAGTTTTTACTTGTGGTATCCTGTTGGTGCTCCAAAATTTTAGATTTTGGAGCATTTTGGCACTGGGGATTAAGATGTCAGACTTGTCATAGAAAACAGATTCCCTGGGGGTCCCTGTGCTTGCTTGAGACACAGCATGGTCAACTTCTCTTCTTGGGTGCCTTTCCCTCTAGGTGGGGTCTGGCAGTGAATGAGAGGGAAAAAGCCAGCCTGGCCTCCCTGCCCATGAAGGCTGTCTGCACTGGGTCCCTTGGCTGGACTTATCCTGGAAGCCCACAGCTTCTGTGGCTCTGTGTGGGTGGGTGGGTAGGTATACATGTGCTAGAGAGAGACAGAGAGACAGAGAGGGGGACCCACAGGGATGGGGTGGGGGGTTCAGACAGCAGGGTCCGAAACCTTCCATTTTGCCTTGGCCTAGAACAGAGTCTCCACTCTTGCATTCTGAAGTAGGGGCTCTTTGTCAGGGAAACCCATACCCTTGGGCCTGTGTTTTTGGGTCAGTTCAGCTTTCTCCCTTTGTACCGAGGTGTGACTCAACTTCCTTCTCCACCCAGGGCTGGGATCTCTTTACTCTCTCTGTCTTCACTCTCTACCACAGATTGGTACCAGGTCTTGCTGACCTGTGACTCTGCCTGCCTCTCTTCTCCCTCAAGCTAGTGATGACGGCCATCTTGCTATTGCTGTCCACCAGCCATGGGAGTTAAACATGGTATAAGGAAAACGGAAGACGGACGCTTATCAGAGCTGGTACTCTTGGGTTGGTACTGTCATGGAGCCCTGTCTTGCTCAGGTACAACCTGGAATCAGACCTTCTGCATAAATGAGGCAGCAATAGAATGTGGGTCAGGTCTGCTTGCATCATAGTGGGACCTAACACATCCCCTCCCTGCTCCCCCCCCTGTCCCTCTATGAAAGTCACCTGCTTTCTCTGAGGACATGCAGGGAAGCCCTCTCCCCTCCCATAGGCCAAGCTTCTCGGGGACCACGGCCACAAGAATAGCAGAGAGCATCATGGGTAAACCTACTCTTGTGAAACAGGGTGGGAGCTACTGCCAACCTCATAGAAGGCGAGGTAAACTAACCAGCTTACTCCCCCACTCCAGTCTATTCTAAGCCATACTTTGGGCTTGTTGCTGGTCGTGGGCTTGAACTAAAACCCACCAGCAGAGGGCGGTATTGACCCACCCCAGACGACCACCTTGCTTAGCCTTTGGATAAGCTACTTAGGGCATTTTGGAAAAGGAGAGAAGGGTACCCAACTGATCTCCAGCCTTCTAGCCAGGAGCAAAGAAATCTGCCAATGTCAAGAGTTCAAATGTCTTTTAAAAATATTCTCTCTTGGGGGTTGGGGCCATAAGCTCAGCCTGACATCTGTGAGGTCCCGGGTCCTATCCCTAGCATGGATAAACAGAAGTCCCTCTTGTACCTGGTTATGTAATTGTGTCTTTGGACTCTGGCAAATGACATGGGGCTTCCATCTGTCCACTCGCTACTGGCAGCATGAGGATATCCGGGGGTGGGGTGGGGAGGAGCCTGTCACAGAGTAAGCATTTCTAATTCAGAGGTGTGAGAACCATTCACGCATGCGTGCATGCAGCTTGGTGTGCAGAGAGAGAGAGGGCTCTTCAATGGAGGTTGGGCACAGAGGTTCAGATCTGGGGAGTCCAGCTACATCTTAAACGTCCCCAGAGGCTTGAAAGGTTGAAAAGAAGTCCCTGGGACTGTGTTGAAGGTCAATAGGTCACTACCTTACCTTTGGGCTACAGAAGGTAGCTCTGGGGTACTGGGGGCTTAGTCTCCACAGACATGGAAGATCAAGTAGGAAACACTAGTACTAAGGTAGGCCGGGTGAGATTCCAACTAGGACCAGGTCCACATGCTTAGTGATGGGATGGGGCGGAGTTGTCCAGTGCCACATGAGACCTGTCTTTGAACTCGGGGGAGGGGACTGAAGGCTGGAGATGTAGCTCGGTTGGTAGAGTGCTTGCCTTGCATGTAGGAGGTCCCAGCTTTGAGCCTGTGGCAAAATCATAACTGGATGTGGAAGGGTTAGGAATGAAAGGTTATGAGTTCGAAGTCAGCCTGGGCAACAGGAGACCCTGGGGGAAAAAAGAAAGGAAAGGAAGGAAAAGAAAGAAAGAAAGAGAGAAAGAGAGAAAGAAAAATTTAAGAAAGAAAGAGGGTGGGATTGGAGCCCTTAGGGTTTTGGACCCCACAGCTGTAAAGTCTTCAGCATTTAGGACAGCAGGCCCCAGTTCACAACATAGAGGAAATGGTTGTGTTTTGTTTTTGTTTTTGTTTTTTCCTGCCTCACAAAACCAAACAGGAGCACAGAACATGGGATCCCAGAGCCAATCTCTTGAGCCTGGAGACCCTGGAAGTTTCTTGACTGTCAGTACGTCTGATGTAACTTTTATTTATTTATTATTTATTTAATCAGATAAGGGACCACTGCACTGCCTCAGAAGATCTTTACCTAGGAGGGCCAACTGGTCATGGCTAGAATTCTGTTGCCTATGACGCTTGTTTTGGTGGGGGGGAGGGAATTAATGTCAAGCAGGAGGCAAGCCCATTTAGAGGAATGAAAAGCAGCTACCCCATTCCTCCCTGACATCTGCCAAGGCTTCAAAGCACTAAAAAAGCCCACTCATCCATTTAACGAGGACAAACTTAGAAGAGTTACCCAAATACCCTTGATGGCAAAGTCCTTACTCCTAGCATGCTTCCTGGTCCAGCATGGCCAACGGCTGGGGTTGCCTGGGGAAGACAGCTCAACATTCTGTGGTCCCAGCTGGGGTTGGTGAAAATGGGGAGGGGCTTGGCCAATCCACTGTGTGTTGAAATTTCCCAGACAGACCTCTGCTGAGAGGGTCAGACTCTAAACACCTCGGATTCTGTGGTTGGGTCTTCCACAGGGACACCTTCCTCTTCAGGCATGCCTGTGATTAATAAGGGGGCCTGATGTGTTTCAGGGAGGCTGACACAAGTCTGTCATGGTGGACATGGGAAGGATTAACAATATCTAGGAACACGTTTCATGGCACTGGACATCCTTCACGAAAGCAGTGGACTCACAGGTAAGGTCAGAGCATGTGCAGGCAAAAGGACAGAGAATGACCTAGGACACTCCTCTCTCTCTCTCTCTCCCTCTCTCTCTCTCTCTCTCTCTCTCTCTCTCTCTCTCTCTCTCTCTGTCACACACACACACATACATACGCACATGCAAGCACACATACACACCCGCCATCATAAAAAGAGGATAGAAAGGAGCTGAAGTGGCCAAGAAACTGGCTCAGGGTGATCTGAGGCCCAGTGTTAGCCACCTTCTGACCCCAACAGGAGTGACAGCCATGACCCAGTGGTTTCATGCACCGCAGCCTGCCATCGGCAGCAAGCGGGTGGGGAGGATGCGGTTCTGTAAAAGACACTACAGGGTACAGGGGTGATGCATCGCAGCCCAAGAGTCAAGGAGAAAACCCAGGGTTGGGGTTGAGAGAGTCCAGAGTGGAAAGAAGGACCAGGACATAGCAACAGGACAAGAGGCAGGGTGGGGCCACTCAGGTGGGGCCACTCGGGGTCCCGTGGGGAAGGTTCAGCTGTGTGTGTCCTCATTTAGTCAACCTTCGGCCACCCTCGCTTGGGCACTTGGGGCAGCCACCCCACATCCCATGGGGCAGGAGGATCCAGTTAGGAGCTGAAAACCCTGTTGGACAAGAGAAGGCGTTAGTGGCTTGGAAAGCAGGTCCTCAGCTTTCTTTCAGTGTGTGACAATGCTTGGGAGACAGAAGCAGAAAGGAAAGTAAGTTCAGACCAGATAGGTGCGGTTCCCGGCACCTATCTGGGGCAGTTCACAATTGCCCCTAACTCTCCAGGCCCCTGCACACATGTGCACACCCACGGACGCACACGCAGCAGTAATGTAAGCTGAATGGATGAGAGTGGAGATAGCTGAGCTGTCTGAAAGAGAGACAGTGAGAAGGCTCAGGTAACAGCCATTCTGACTGGGAAAGAGAGAACCTTGTCCCACCTGCTTGAAGCGGAAGAGCAGGGGGCAGGGGGGAGGGGGCCGGGCCAGGAGGTGAGAATGGGGGAGGTAAGCGTCAACACACTGGTTTTCTTGCTGCGGGGGGCGGGGGGAGTTTAAAAGAATGAAGCTCCTCAAACATCACTGTTTCAGGCGGCTTCTGGCAATTCCTAAAGGCTGAGTCAAATTGTCAAGATGCTATCTGTTTTAATTGCATTCCATGAGAATGTCCCCTGTGACTTCTGGGGTAAGGGGGTGGGGGGAGCATCGAGAGCTACAGTGCTGGTTGGCAGAAACCATCGTTCCACAAGGGGGCACTCTGTCCAGAGCAGGAAACTACCGCGTTCTGGATCCTTGGAGTCCCCAGAGGGCTTGCTAACCACTGTACCCCAACTTTTGAATACCAGACTCAGTAGGACCGGGGTCACCTGGGAAATGTGCACCCCTTTCTTTTGTTTTATTGAGAGGAGGTCTCCATGTGTAGCTCTAGCTGGCTTCCAACAGGCAACCTTCAGCGGAGGTAGCAGCAGAATCGCAGCCATGCATTTTGGTCTGGGACACACCCCCCACCGCCATATTGGTCTGGGGATCCGGCCCGCCAGCTGCAGCCCCTCCCCCAGGCCTGGACAGGACTTACTCGTCTGTGTCTTTTTTGCTCTCTTCAATGAAGGCGATGGACTCAGATCTAAGGCGGTTGGTCACTTCGTACGTTCTGAGGGTGACTCCAAAGATGTCCTCGTGGTACCGGTTGTCATCCTATGGACGGAAACAAGCCAGGGGGTGGGTCACATGACAGGTAAGGGCTTGGAGAGGAATAGACACGGGATACACGGGAGAGCATACACCTAGACAAGACAGAGACTTCGCTGAGGGCCTCGGGGTACCTTTAGTCTCTAAGGCTGTGGTTAGCAGTGCTCCGCCCTTTTGTGCCCAGGTGGCAAAGGATCTATGGGGTATTTGGAAAAAGAGCGGCTGCCTCGAGGATTCTGAGCATAGAAGGAGTGAGGAAGCCTGAAGGAAGCTCTAATTCTGTCTCTCTTCTTTCCTACTCACCCCTGAAAGTTCAGATCCCCGTGGGAGGACAACACATACCCCAGCTATCTCCATTTAAGGATCAGGCCTGATTTTGAAAAGAAGGCCGTAAGACATCAGCTCCATGGACCAGACCATAAGTCCCAGAAACTCGGCCATAGGACACCAGTTCTGGGAACAGACCGTAAAATCCAGAAACAAGGTCATAAAACTCCCCCTGCTCTGAAAAGAACAGCCTAGGGGATAATCACAAGAATGGGGAACTATCTTATCTCAGGATGGGCCATCTGTCCTGGGTAGCCTATCTCATCCGGACTTAGGAATGCAGACCACTGACCACCTGGCACAAGCTAATCAGAAGCTGACCTCAGTGACCTCCCCAGCACCCACCAATAAAACTTTAGATTACCTAACCCACTCTCTAAGTATAGAAGGACTAACATAGTAGCCAAGCAGAGTTACACTAATGTCACCGCTTTGGCCCCTGCCAATCACAGTAGAGATGACCTAATCTTCTAGAACTTCTAGAGAGTTCTGCCAGTTCCCTATAACGGTTGACCCCCCCCCCCCCACGCTGGTTGCTTCTACCAAATAAACGCTTTCTGTCTTTGCATACTATCTTAAGCCTGGGGTCTTCCTTCAGCGATTTTCGGACGCTTATACCAGCAAGCCTGAATTAAGTATGAAACGCCCCTGCTGATTGGTACCAGCTGATGGAGAGGAAAAGGAAGGCAGCTGCGGGGCTGGGGATGTAGCTCACTGGTATAGCGTTCCCTCGGCATGCACAAGACCCTGGGTTTTGTCTCCAGCATGGGGGGGTGCAGATTCAGAAGTGACGGGGAGCCACCCTGGCAGAAGTGAGGGATGGATTGGTCAGTTAAGAATATTATTTAAGAGTGACGTTTTGGTGGTTGGGAGGAGGGATTCATCATATTCCTGATGAGGGCAGTGGCCAGGAGCTTGGCTTGGCTAATAGGGCCCATGGTATACCTGGTTCTAGTACCCTGCCCCTGCTGCAAGGCACACAATGTATTCAGTTCTAGTACCCGGCTCCTGCGGCAAGTTCCACATCTGGATGGAAGAACGACTAGAAAAATGCTTGGCTATTGACTGGGGCCACTGAGAGGGCTCAGCTGGGAAAGGCGCTTGTCACTGAGCGTGATGACATGAGCTGAATACACGATAGAAGAGAACGCTCCACAAGGCGCCCTCTGACCTCCACATGTTCTCCATGACATATTCATGCCCCTCCCCGACTAAAAACTGATCGTTGTTTATTTAAGAAAGCTCGGTGGGACCACCTCTGGGATTTAGTTTCTATTGGGGGAGGTGATCGGTCACATAGTTGGGACTCTGTTGGGGAAAACTGTCATGGCTGCTAGCCTAGCCTTTGAGCACAGTAAGAAAGGGCCTTTCCTTCAGAGCAGTCACACTCCACATCAGGGGGGCACGGCTTAGAGATCAAGCACAGCCGCTTGCAGGCCCACCTGCCCTCCTTGGGGGTCCTTTTTGTTTGTTTTTGCAAGCTAGAGTTTCTCTGTTTCATCCTGTTGTTCTGAAACCCACTTTGTAAACCAAGCTGGCCTCGAACTCACAGAGATCTGCTTGCCTCCCCCCCACCCAGAGAGCTGGGATTAAAGACATGCACAGCCACCTAGTGGATGAGCCTTTTCGTGTGAAGTGACAACCATATGCAATCAATTGCACAGGGCAGAGGAACAGCCTGGCTTGGGGTTCTGGAAGCGCTGAGTTAGGATTACATCCGTAAAATTCCTCACAGGTAGGTCCACCTAGTGTCATATACCAGAGCCTATAACTATATTGACTGTGTATACCTGCATGCCTGGTTGTCCATCTCTCTCTCTCTTGATCATGGCTAGGTACAACCCCAGTTGTAAGGTCAGATGGTAGAGGTTGGAAGAGAGGAAACTTCTGGACGCTGGTTGCCAGCTGTCACTCACCCTCAGCCTGCTGATAAACACACCAGCGTCCTCCTCTGAGAGTTTCCCCTGCTGGGTCATTATGCGCTGGATGGCTTTGAGGACATCGGCGGCCATCGTAACGTCCCCACAGACATAAATGTGGCCTCCTTGCTCCTTCAGGGCACGGTACACAGACTCGGCCAGCTGTTCCTGCAGCACGTCCTGTACATATTTCTGCAGCAGAGGAGGATGGTGAGCTGTGGCCACTGTGAGAGGCTTCTCGGCTCCACCCACCAGGGAGCAAGGGGTTGTGGGTAGGGAGCTGTTTTGTGAGCTAACCTCAGGGGAATGGGATGAGGGACTAGAAAGACCAAGCCACCATGTGCGAAGGAGCTGATTCCAGCTGGGGAGCAGGGAGGGTGCTCCCTATATCTGGGGGGAGTGCTCCCTAGATAACCTCCAGGGGGAGTATAGCTCATCTTGACCGTCAACTTGAGAAAACCCAGAGTCATCTAGGAGACAAACCTTGGGGTGTGTCCGTGAGGGAGTCTCTAGACTGAGTTAATGGGGGTGGGTAAACTCGGTCTGGAAAATGGGTTTCGTTATTCCATAGGCCGGGGTTCTTGACTGGATAAAAGGAGGACTCAAGCTGGGTATCGGTATTCATCTCTCTCTCCTCGCAGACTGCAACTGCAAACGTGACCATCCTGTTCGGGTCCCTGCTACCACGCCCTTCTCGCCATGACGTGCAGCAGACTGCATTCCCTAACCGTGGGTCCCAAGGAAAACCTTCCTTATCTAAGCGGTTTCCATCAAAGATTTTGTCCCAGCCATGAGACAAGTAACAGAAACGCAAGGGTCTTAGCTACCTTCTCCTTTCCCTGAGGGGTGGTGGTCACTATTGGGTCAGAGACACTCAAGGCAGAAAGCCAAGGATGGGCAAAGTAAGGGGCTGCCAGCCTCCACGCCCCCTCCAACCTCCTCAATAAGCTGGCTATCCCAGCAAGGATGGAAGTGAGGGGCAGGCTAGATGCTTGCGAGCTGAGCACAGAGGTGGTCCACTGCAGGGTTTGTTTAATGGGCCAGAAACTCCTCCTGTGTGTGGCTGCATCTAGCTGGTAAATTCTGCCGATGACCCACATGCCCCCCAAGTGCCAAACATCCCCTTTCTGTAGCCCCTGTTCTTCTCCTATGCCATAGGTCCTAGCATGGTCTCTGGGCTCTCCAAACTGCCCCCAAGCCTGGCAGTTAGAGCACAAGTTCCATGGCCCATGTTTATTCTGATTGGTGCTGTCTCCTGTGGACTGTAAAAATAAATATATTTTGAGCTTCTTCTTCTTCTTTTTTTTTAAAATTTAACTCATTAATTTTTTTTTGAAACTAGTATTACTGTATAGCTCAGGCTGGCCTTGAACTCACAATTATTCTGCCTTAGCCTTCCAAGTACTGGGATTATAGCTGTGGTCGATCATGCTCCGCTAGGCTCTATTTAAAAGTTTTTTTTTTTTTTTTTTTCGAGACAGGGTTTCTCTGTGTAGCCCTGGCTGTCCTGGAACTCACTCTGTAGACCAGGCTGGCCTCGAACTCAGAAATCCGCCTGCCTCTGCCTCCCAAGTGCTGGGATTAAAGGCGTGCGCCACCACCGCCCGGCTAAAAGTTTTTTTTTTTTAATTGTTGGAAACATACATAACATAGTACATACTGTGTTAAAGAATATAATTCACCTATAATCATTTGAGAGGTAAGAGAGAAAAAGATTACAAATTCTAGACTGGGTTAAGCTAAACAGTGAGTTCTGTGCCAGCCTGGGCTACATAGCAAGATCATACTATGTAGCTGTTAAATGTTTTCAAGGGACTCAGCCCCTACCAGGTTTTCTGAGGACAGAGCAGATGCGGGGGTAGCGGGTAAAATACACCCAGAAGTGGGGTGTCTTAGTTTCCATTCTGTGTTGATGAAAAGCCCTGATGAAAGCAACTTGAGGAGACAGGCTTGGTTTTTAGTTCAGGTCCCTCATCTTGGGGGATACCACAGTGGCAGGGAAGCAGGTAGCCACGCCCACCGTCGAGGGCAGAGAGGAATGCATTACATGATGCTCAGTGCTCAGCTCTCTCCTGCCTTTCACTCAGTCCATGGTCCCAGCCTTGAAACGATGCTTTGTACATTCAGACTGAGTCTTCTTACTTTGATTAACCCAATGCTAGCCCAGACAATCCCCCTTGAGCCCCTCTTCCTGGGTGATTCTAGGTTGTTTCAAGTGGACAATAAAAACTGGCCATCGTGTATGCGTGTGTGTGTGTGTGTGTGTGTGTGTGTATGTATGTGACATGCACAAGTATACTCATGCTTGCACACTTGAGTGCGTCCGGGTGTGGGCTAGGTTACCTTTGGCCTGTCGGGTTCCCGGGAGTAGGCAGTGTACAGCTCTCTGAAGACACCCTTGTTCTTGGCCTGCAGGGTCTCCTCTCTGTAGATATGATCTATCTTGGATTGTCGACACCCGAAGACCAGAACCATGGGGCAGGGATTCATTCCTGGGGACCGGGAAGACCCATAACACAGATGGCTCTGATGCCCAAGTGGGTAATGGTTAAGCTACAGGAGCTGGGGTGCTGGGATCTTGGGCCATGAAATGCTTAGGAAAAGCTCACATACATGGGGCAGGGGGTTAAACACACAGGTGCACCCACACATTTGAATCTATGCACACAGACAAGCACAGCCTGTGGGGAACGAGGGGCATTTCCTAGACACGCCTTGCCTGGTCTCCCTCCATCCCTACGCCCAGTCTACTCCTTAGCAGCCTGCTATTGGAAAATTCCCAGAGCCCAGACTGGAGCCTGATGCTCTGCACCTGCATCCCAGCTCTGCGTGACCCTGAGCACGCCAGCTCCCTCTCCGAACTTCAGTTTCCCCATTTGAAAAGGGAAGCACCAGCTTCCTTGGCGTGCAAGGGAAATGGCGATCCCAGGATTCCCCTGGGTATGAAAATCTCACATAAAATAGCGTTCTCTAGAACTCCTATATATCCCTGGCACCTTCAGTTACCTCTCTGCTTCATGCAGAATGTATTTTATTTCAGTTGTTTGAAGTGCAGTTGGGGAATTAGATTTGGTGTGTGGGCCAATGGTAATACCCAAAATCACCTCTTGGGGTCACTGTTCTGTCAGAAACACAGCTCAGTGTGGGATACAGAGCTAACATCTATCTTCCATCACCCATCCATCCATCCATCCATCCATCCACTCATCCATCCACCCATCCA